CCCATTGCTGGCCTTTCCTTCCCATTAATTTCTTTCCCTGGGTCTAGAAACATCTTACTATTTTTTTTGTCTCCTCTTCTCTCCAACTGCAGTTTGGTGTTTTCCCTTTTTTTCCTCTTGCACCCACTTCTGCTGAGAGTGACACCTGTGTGCTGCTCCTGTCTGGTCCCCCGTTCACTCCTCCCGCCTTTGCTCTTCTGTTCACGCTGCCCTCTCCTGGTCCCCGGCACCCGCACACCCTCCTTACCATCAGAGCCCAGCGTGCTCTCCGCCTGCAAATCTCAGTGTGCGGTTCTCCCTCCTCCTCGTGCACCGACAGCATTGCTCACGGCTCCTACGCCTGCTCTCAGCCCCCCCTCACCACCACCACCCCGTGCAGGCTCAGCCACCATCCAGAGTTCACCAAGGATTACAAATCTATGGGATTATACGGCCTCTCGCTTCATATGACATCTCTTCCTTCTCCTGTCCCTCTGTGACGGACCCAGATTCTCCTGTCTAAACCTCTCCCGAGCTGCTGTGTCACAGGAGCGGACACCTTCAGTGTCCACCTCCCAGGCTCATCGCGGCTCCTGGAGACCATCCCCTGCCTGGGCTCAGCACCCCGCGCTTCTCCCTCACTGCTTTTCCCGTCTTATTTCTGCTGCCCTTTCACTCCTCTCTGGCTGCCTAATGCTCAGCTTCGCTGAGCATGACCTCCAGGGCGTGGGGGTCCCTGCTGCCCTGTCACCCAGAGTGCCCTTGTCCCACGCACCTTCACGCACCCTCTTGCCCACAGGCCTCTGCCCAGTCAGGGTAGGCTGTGCTGTGCTGTGGGAAAGCACAGTTCTAAGCCCCCTGTGGCTTATTCAGGAGAAGCTACTTCTTGCTCAGTTACCTGAACTTTGTGCATGGGCAGGAGGCCCCTGTTTCCCTCTGTGATGTTGCTGGTCAGAATGGCAGGGAAGGGAGCCTGGAAATGGGCTGTGGGCCTCTGCTCACGTTCCCATGGCCTTTACTCGTCCCACGGTAGTGCCTGACCTCCAGAGGGGAGGAGGCATGATCCCGCGTGCACTTGGCGGTAGACCGGCTGCTATTGAAAGCTGGGCATGCCTGCTCCGTCCTCCTGTCCCTCAAGGCCCCTCCAATGCCATAGCTTCTGTGAGGCGGTTCTTGATCTTCTCTTCTCTGTCCCCATCAACCCAGACCTTTTCATTGACTGGGTTCCAGTCATTTCCCCCCGTCAGTTCTTAGTACGGTCTTTTACGCCTATGGGCTCACCAATGGGTGGTCTGTGGGGTGCGCGGAGGAGCCTGGAGGCTGGGAGCGCAGGCAGGTTTGGCCCTCAGCAGCCAGTCAGCTACAAATCTATGGGATTATACGGCCTCTATACGGTTCTTGATCTTCTCTTCTCTGTCCCTATCAACCCAGACCTTTTCATTGACTGGGTTCCAGTCATTTCCCCCCGTCAGTTCTTAGTACGGTCTTTTACGCCTATGGGCTCACCAATGGGTGGTCTGTGGGGTGCGCGGAGGAGCCTGGAGGCTGGGAGAGCAGACAGTTGGTGCTTGAACCAGCTCCACATCGGCAGCGGCTGTGCTAGTCCGGACAGGCTGCAGTGAGCAAAGGTGGGGGGTTCCTGACTCAGCTTGTGTGTGTGTGCGTCCAGGTACGGGAAGAGCGCAGGGACAGGAAGCACCGTGCCTCAGCCGTGAGCACACGGGGATGCATTTGAGTCCTGTCCCTTCATGGCTGTGTGCCGCCAGATCCAAGTCCAAACACCAGCCCGTGGTGTATTCACTTTAGGATCAGGTGCCACTTAAGCGGTCGTGGGGCCTTAGAATCACCCAGTCACAGCTTTTCACAGGCTGTTCCCTGGGGGACTGGACAGCTGCTTTTCCTGAGGGTTGGAGTTCATCTCGCAGTGTTTCAGGTGACCCGAAGATGGGCTGCAGGAAGCAGGCCTCTTCCCGGCCCCGGCAGGGTCGTGCACTCGTGGGCACTGGCGATGAGAGTGAGCCCCGATTCTGAGTGTGGCTCCGGCTGCGGAAGTTGGGGGACTGGCTCCTCTCGGCTCCGGCCCCCTGGTGAGGCGTGGCTCCTGCTGACACTGTTGGACCTGGAGAAGCTCAGATTCTGCCCAGGCGTTGCCCTTTTTTGTTCATCTGGAAGCACCTACACATACAAGCTGCAGCTCTACATAAGGGTGCACTTGCGGGCAGCTGGTGCCTGAACCAGCTCCGATCAGCAGGGCCTCCCCACCAGGGGAAGGCAGAGCCAGGGCCCTGCGCCCCCGGGTGCCCCAGCCTGCAGCTCCTGGGGCTCCAGAAGGTCTGTTGCATCGCTCCCGTCAAACGTGTTTTTGACTTTCAGAAAAAGACGATGGGTTGTGTTGTAATTGTACTCTTACTATTGGGCTTAGATGTGCCTAATCTTTGTTGGGTGCCACGTCCTGAACTCCATCCTCGGAGCTGGCAGAGCCATCCCATCCCGTAGATGAGGAAATGACTCGCCCAGGGTCACTCAGCATGTGTGTGGGGGGAGCCAGGTCATGTCAGTGCCATTTCCATAAACTACAAGCATCAACAGTCAAGACCTCTCTCAGTATTTGTCCAGAGTAATGAGTCCAATTTAGTACCTTTTAAAAAAAAAACCTCCTTTTAAACTGTATTTTAAATGTTTCCCCCAGATAACCTCTTTGTGACCAACCAGAATGGATACTACTGTCACTCTCAGACCAGCCTGGATCGAGCCCAGATCGACCTCAACGGTCGCATCCGCAACGGCAGTGTCTACAGCGCGCACAGCACCAGCTCCTTGAACAACCCCCAGCCCTACCCGCAGCCCTCACCCATGTCCTCCAACCCCAGCATCACCGGGAGCGACGTCATGAGGCCCGACTACGTCCCGTCTCACCGGCACAGCGCGCTGATTCCCCCGTCCTACCGCCCGACCCCCGACTACGAGACGGTAATGAAGCAGCTCAACCGGGGGATGGCTCACGCGGAGCGGCAGAGCCACTCGCTGAGAAACCTCAACATCGGCCACTCGTTCGCCTACAGCAGGCCCGACGCGCTGGTCTACAGCCAGCCCGAGATCCGGGAGCACGCCCACTTCCCCTCTCCCCAGTCGGCCCACTACCCGTTCAGCCTGAACTACAGTTTCCACAGCCAGTCCCCGTACCCCTACCCCGCAGAGCGGCGGCCCGTGGTGGGCGCC